AAAGTCCCCTGCTGGTGTGGCTCCTGTCCCAGAGGGCTGACCTCCTGGCCACCCTATCCAAGCAGCATGGCTTTGGCTCCTCCTCTGCCCCATTCTCCTCCCTTCCCTTCAGCTGCAAGATTCACAGCTTGCCTGACTGGGGTTTCCTTTAATACTCTTAATAGATTACCCTCCAGCTTCCGTTTGTCTGTCCATCCTTCATCCTCCAGCTTCTGCCTGTGTCCACTGGTTGGTTCTTAAATTCATTTATTAATGAGACTAAGAATCCCAGGAGCGGATTCTTAAGTATCCAATTCCCAAGTATCATATGGTGGCTCTGCTGGGACTCCCCGAGATCCCTCTAACACTTCTTTCCTGCCTTTTTAATTCTTCGAGCCTGCTCCTGCACCCTAGATGGCTTCCGTCTCCTCCCTGGCTTTGTGGAGTCTTCCGTGGTGTACAGAGACAAATCTTGGAGCAGTGGGGATAGGTCTTGTACCAAAAGCAGACGCCAAATTCGGTCACGCTACACAAGTCCCGGATCACTCATCATCAGCTATACAGCCTGCGGGGTCCAGGTGATCTCAGAATCCAGATTTTGCTTTTTCAGTTTTAGCATGCTAACTTACTAACACCCCCAGTAGAGCCCAAGAAAGCATCCTACAAACTCCTATTCTTTACATCAAAACATGAATATTCATAATGACCATCACTATCAGGTCAATTAAAATAGTCTAGGAGACAAAGTCGGGCTCTCCAGGGTAGGAGATTTGGTACCATCTGGCTCCCTTTCCTCTAGGAGAGGTCTAAGCTCAGGAATTCGGGGACAAACACCGTCAGCAGGAAATGGACAAAGGGAATGAGTACTGAAAGCCACAGACATTCCCTGACTCAGGTGCCCATGAAATAGACCAGCCAGGATCTGAGCAGGTTCGTCTGGAGAGTTCCTGACATAAGCAAGTGATGCCTTCTAAGCTGAACTTCCCTGGCCCCAGAGCCGCGCCCCAAAAATGACTATAGAGCCCTTGCTATGTGGAGAATCAGAGTCCCCAGGTCTCTGAGTGCAAAGAGGGCAGAACAGTGTAGCCTATGACAGACCACAGAAGGGTCCTCAGGGTGTTGATCCCACATGACCAATGATCCGCAGGGTGCCCAGCAGGCACTGCGGCCATTTTCCTGCCTTTGAGAAACACCAAGCAGGAGCTCGGCCTCGAGGCCAGCAGTCCTGGGTCCGTCTATCTCCCCATTCTCTTCTTACCCTGCACAGCTCCATGCGTTGCCTCTTACACTCCAGTCTCCAGTCCAACCACTTCCCCCAACCCTCTCAAGTCTTCCACAGCCTCGGGGACCCAGCTGGGTGACCACGTGTCATAGCCCACTCACATGCCAACAGCTGCCTGCTTCCCCTGAGCTCCAGCCTGGCGCTTGGGCAGGTTACCTGACTGGTTCTGCTCAATGGAACATGCAGAGATTTCACATGTCACTTCTGAGGTATTTAGTATCTGGTGCCCCATGTTCTCTTCCCTCCCCTGATACAGGACAAGATGGTAGAGACTCACCAGGCATTCTAAGTCCTGGAATTACAGCCTAGAAAAGACCATTGGGTGACCTATGAAAGACGTGTGTGTGTGTGTGTGTGTGTGAGAGAGAGAGAGAGAGAGAGAGAGGTGGGGGGTAGAGGCATGTATGTGAATATGTATATGTGTATGGTAGAGAGGTGGGTGCTATAGGTATGTTATGTATGTGTGTGTATGGTAGGTGGGGGATAGGCATGTATATGTGTGTGTATGTATGTGTAGGGTAGGTAGGGAATATAGGCATGTGAGTTTCTTTGTGTATGATAGGCGTGGGTATAGAGATGCATGTGTGTATGGTAGAAAAGGATATAGCTGCATGTGCCCTTGCATGTGTGCAGAGAGCCGGGGAGGATGCCAAGTGTCTTCCTCCATCACCTTCTGCCTCATTCCTTTGAATCAGTCTCTCACTGAACCTGAAGCTATGCTAGGCTGGTGGCCAGCAAGCTCCAACAATTCTCCTCTCTCTGCTCCGCACCCCACCCCTACCCCCCACCCTCTAGCCTCCATCCCTTCGCCCCCCGCAACTCCACCTCCTGACAGCCACAGCACACATCATGTATGACTACACTGGCTTTTTGTGGTTACCTGCTGAGTCATCTCTCCAACTCCCCAAAATAAACTTCTATAGGGACCATTTACCAAGATTCTGGAGTTTCTGATATGGCAGCTGTGCTGGAAGCTTCAGTTGTCAACGTGACACATCTGGGAAGAGGGACCCTCAGCTGAGGAATTGCTTCTACTGGATTGGTCTTGTGGGTGTGTCTGAGGCATTTTCTTGATTGTTGAGTGATGTGGGAGGGCCCAGCCCACAGTGGGCAGGTGGGCCTGTGTTGTATAAAAAAGCAGGCTGAGCACTGCACATGGTCAGGGGAACAAACCAGTAAGCGGCGTTCCTCCATGGTTTGTGCTCCAGGTTCCTGCCTTGGCTTCCCTTGATGATGGACTGTGAGCTGTAAGCCAAATAAACCCTTTCCTCCCCAAGTTGGTTTTGGTCAGTGTTTTATCACAGCAACTGAAGACAAGATGGACACACTGACCTTTTCCAGGGGAGGTGTTGGAGGGGAAGTTGAAAGAGGATCTGTTTCCCTGTAGCTCTACCTGAACTGGAACTCTCTGTGTAGACCAGGCTAGCCTCAATCTTACAGAAATCCACCTGCCTCTGCCTCCAGTGTGCTGGAACTAAAGACTACACCATGCCTGGTCCATACACAGACCCTTCTTGGACACTGTCAAACCCCTGCTTGATGATCAGTGTATATGCCACTCCTCAGTGACAACCACCTCCTACAGGCTGTCACCTCGCTTAGCAACCTCCAGCCGTCACTCAGACATCCAACACAGCAGTCATCTGAATCAACTGTCACACAGGAAACGTTCGTGTTGGGCTCCCATAGCCATCTGTGCTTTGCTTTCTCCCCAGGCCTCCCCAGTATAGACAGGGTCTTGCTCCGTAGCTCAGGCTGACCTTGTACTCTCAGGCCTCCTTCCTCAGGCCCCCAACTGCTGGGAATTTTAAGTGGAGCCACAACCCTGAGCTTGAGCTTACTTTTCATTCTGGGTTCTCGGCGCTCTATAAATAGTAAACAACCAATATATGTGATTTACTGAAGTGAGAATCAGAGCCTTCTCACCAGGTGACAAGCAGCCCATGGTCAAGTACCTCCCTTGTCCACAAGTGTGAATCCTGTGTGAGACTCCGGGGGTGGGAGGTAAGAAAGTGAAGTCGCTGTCACCCTCTGTCATTTCATCCTCTGTACCCGCTACCTCCCGTCTTTATTAGAGGGCAGGGTCTTCCTACAAAGCACACGATCTCTTCAGGAGCCATCAGCTAGAATATCCCTCAGACAGCAGATATAAAAAGGGGCTTTTACAGTGACAAGACTTAAGTAGAATGGACTTCTAATGATTCTGTGGAGCCTGGAGAGGTAAGCTACGTCTAGATTCCCGACCTGACATTCAGGCATCAGGCGGCTGTGCAGGTTGTCTCTGGTGTCACAACTTCAGCAGAGGCTCCCCTGGCTCCTCCAGGACCCAGATGACATGAACAGCCACTGCCTGGCCAGGGCTCCCTAAAGCCAAGAATGGCACCGTGTCTCTGGAGGCAGAATGGCAGGTCCTTTGGATACACAGTGAGCTGGCTACCGAATTGCGCACTGAACTCCAAATCCCTGCACTTGATGTCCCAGTGTGTCTTAGGCCTGACCCATGGAAACCAGAGTCAGTTGTTGCTGCGATGTTTTCACAATGGCCACACACCAGCGTCCTGCCTACAGCAGGTGTGGTTTTGCTTGGGTGCTGAGGCAATCCACATTCAGTGTACGTTAGCATTAAGACTGGCCCATTCCCTGGAACCCACATGAGAGATGGAAGGAGAAACCAACTGCACAAAGTTGTCCTTTGATCTCCTCTACACAGATGCCTTAGCACACAGGTGCCTACACACACACACACACGCACACACACGCACAGGCACAGAGGATTGGGGGCTGGAGAGATGGCTCAGCAATTAAGAGCACCAACCACTCTTGCAGAAGACCTGGGTTTGATTCCCAGCACCCACATGGCAGCTAACAACCGTGTGTAACTCCAGTTCCAGGAGATTCAACATCCTCTTCTGACCTCCACGGGCACTGCATGACACGGGTTCGCCTACCTACATGCAGGTAATACATTCATACTCATAAAATAAAAACAAATAAAACTGTAAAAAATAAAAGAAAAAGATCGGTTAACAGCATCTACGTCAGCTGTGGTAAACACAGTTCCCAGGCCCACAGATTCAGGGCTAAGCACCGGGCCCAGGCCCACAGATTCAGGGGTAAGCACAGGGCCCAGGCCCACAGATTCAGGGGTAAGTACCGGGCCCAGGCCCACAGATCCAGGGCTAAGCACCGGGCCCAGGCCCGCAGATTCAGGGCTAAGCACCGGGCCCAGGCCCGCAGATCCAGGGCTAAGCACCTGGCCCAGGCCCGCAGATCCAGGGGTAAGCACAGGGCCCAGGGCTAAGCACCAGGCCCAGGCCCACAGATCCAGGGGTAAGCACAGGGCCCAGGCCCACAGATCCAGGGCTAAGCACAGGGCCCAGGCCCACAGACTCAGAAGAGGACTCGCAGGAAATGTTTCCACAGCACACTCTCAGCCAAAAATGGAACATGGCCAGCCTATGCAGTACCCTGGGAACTGGGATCTAGAGACCACTGGGATGCTCAGGAGAAAAATCAAAGCATTGGGAAGGGAATTTAGAGGAACATGGGGAGTTCAGGGGAGCTGGGTAGTCCAGTCTGCTGCTAAGCATCACAGGTGGTCCCTAGGAGGCACAAACACAGGAACACGCAGCCCCAGTTGGCACTTTGCCAGGTCACATATCCTGTGCCTGGCTCTCCCAAGTCCCATCCATGGTACCTTCATACAAGTGACACGGGCAGAGCTTCCCCGCCAACATACCTCGTACAAAGATCCTGTCCCAGTAGGTTTTCCCGACTTGAATTCCCCCGAGAAACACCAGGTTGAACAGGATCAACATGGAGGTACAGCAGGAGGCCAGGACAGCGTGCAGCCTACGGCGAGCTTGTGGGGAGAGGCGACGGGCCTAGGAGGGAAACAAAACACATCTCTATCAAAGGACAGGCAAACTAGAGCTAAGCTTTACACCCTCTTGTCTCCCGGCCCAGTGTCTCCCTGCATCTGGACTGGGTCATACAGTTCTCAAAATGTCCAGTCTACAACATATTCATTTTACCCTGAGAAGTAAGTGAAATGTGATCACGGTGGTACTTCTGTCTGGCCTGGTGATATCAATTCTGAAGCTGGTTAGGCTTTAGCAACCCCCCCACTTGCCAGGGAGGCATCTCCATGTGTTTTCTGTATGTAAATCCATAGACGCAATCACTTTAAACTGTTTCCCATTGATACAGTTCCCCGTCAAGACCAAAGTGAACAGAGGTCAAGGTCACAGTGACCTTCTGGATCAGTGACCCTGACCCTGAAGAGCCAATCAGACCCCTGCAGCCTGGTCTGCTGTGAGGAGTAACACAATGGGCGTGTAGGAGGCAGACCGTGATGGCTAATATGTACTGCCAGCTGGATGGGATTTAGAATTACCATGGAAACAAACCACTGGGCAAGCCTGTGAGGGACTTTCTAGACTGGGTTAACTAAGTGGGAAGACTCACCCTGAATGTGGGTCCCAGACTGCGTAAGAAAAAGAGCTAAGCATCAGTATTCACCTCTCCGCTTCCCCACGGAAGGCAGTGTGACCAGCCGCCATGTTCCTGCCGTCATGTGACCCCCCAGATAAACTCTCCCTTTCTCAAGCTGCCTTTGACAGGTGTTTGGGTTAGCTTTCTACTGCCATCATAAAAACACTGACCAAACCAACTTTTGGTGTGGGGAGGGTTTGTTCGGCTCACAGCTCACAGTCCATCAAGGGAAGCCAAGGCAGGAGCTCAGGGCGGGAGCTGGAGCACAGGCCACGGAGGAACACCGCCTACTGTGCCTGTGCTTAGCCTGCTTTCTGTACAACCCAGGCCCACCTGCCCAGGGGTGGCACCGCCCACAGTGCTCATCAAGAAAGGCCAGTCCATATGGAGGAAATTCCTCAGCTGGGAGGCCCTCCACCCAGGTGTGTCAGATTAACAACTGAGGCTACACCGCACAATTGATCCCTTGCCAACCTGACACACAAATCACTATTAAACCACAACCCTTCCATTTCTTATCCCCAAGATCTCATGTTCGTACTAATAACATAAAACAGTACAACTTTAAAAGTCCCACAGTCATTTAAAAAATCAAACACTTTAAAAGTTCAATGTCTCTTTAACATAATCCAAAGTCTTTCAACTGTGAGCTTCTGTAAAATCCCAAATAAGTTACATACAGTCTTATTTTAAAAGAGAAGAATTGGGCACACTTAAGTAAAACAAAGGTCCAGCAACGTATCTCAATGTTGGAAATCTGGGATTCACTCACAAGGGCAGCTCCACTTCTCTGGCTCTGTGGGCCACAGCACACACAGCTGGTCTCTTAGACCAGGCTGGCTCCACTCCACACCTGCTGCTGCCCCTAGTGGTTGTCTCATGGTCTGGCATCTCCAGTATGCTGTGGTCTGCACTTGCAACCGAGGCTGCACCTTCACCAATGGGCTCTCCTGGCCTCTCGGTACAAAGCCTCAGATTCTCTCCATGACCCCTGCAATCCTGAGGGTCTTTACTACAACTGAGGCCACACCTTCACCAATGACCTTTCCTGGCCTCTCATAGTACCAAGCCTCAGCTGCTCTACAGAACCCCTCCATGTCTTCAACACCGGAACCATACAGGGGACTCTTACACATTACCAAGTCCTGCTTCCAGCTTGATCCACAAGCAAAAAAAAGTTTCTCATCCAAAAATGTTTAACACAAACATCTCTGACAGTCTTTGCTTCCATTTGAAGCTTCACAAGCCACGCCACCATCATCTGTGCCTCTTTCAGCATTATATTCCAAGTTCTACAGAACAGGTCGTTGAGCTCCAAGCACTTTTCCAATCCAAAGCTCTAAAAACTTTCAGATATGTATGGTCAGGTCCATCACAGGAAGACCCTGGCTCTCTGGTACCAATTTCTGAATTAGCTGGGTTTCTTCTTGTTGAGCACACCCCACTGACCCAAGCCAGCTTGGGGAGGAAGCTTATCTTACAGCACAGTCCTTCACAGAGGGAAGCCAGGGCAGGAACTCAGCTCCTGGAGGCAGGAGCTGGAGCACAGGCCATGGAGGATCACTGCTTACTGACTTGCTCTCCTGGCCCCTGCTCAGCCTGCTTTCTTATGCAACACAGGCCCACCTGCCCAGGGGTGGCACCACCCACAGTGGGCTGGGCCCTCCCACACCACTCAACAATCAGGAAGGTGCCCCATGGACATGGCCACAGGCCAGTCCAATGGAGGAGGTTCCTCAGTTGAGGCTCACTTCCCCAAGTGTGTCAAGTTGACAACTGAAGCTGTCCAGCAGGGTCAGGTATCTTGTCCCAAGTAGCTAATACACATTCTCAATAGCACAAGACAGCGTCGGAGATGGCAACTGACCAGTGTCTGGAGGGACCCTTCACAAGCATGAGGAAGACGTTTTCTGTCCTCCCTAGCAACCATTGCATGACCCCCTTTAGTAATTCCTAAGGGAACTGCTACTCAAAGCAAACAAAGCCCTCATTCCTCATCCCTGACACTGTGGTGAGCCCTCCCGATAAGGTCATCCCACTGCATCTGGAGATGTGAGCTTCACAAGCTCTTCTGTGAACTGAGTGTTCAGAGTGGAGCCACACACAGGCAGCCACAGGCAGCCCAGGTTTCGACAAACACCTTGGATGAGTCTACAGACACTGGCTGGAGAGGCAACAGAGGGTCAGAGACTCTTTCCTAACCATGCTCTGGAAGCTGACACTTCTGAGTTCACTGGCACCCACCTCAGCTGTGGTCTGATTACACAGGCTCGCGGCAGGAGGCTGCGTCATTCACACAGTCACACAGGGACTAGCCTAGAAGTGAGTCTCAGCCAGTGCTGGCTCCTTTCTGGTGATCTGCTATGGATTACCCATGGCTATACCTTAGTCAGGGTCCCCTCAATCTAGAGAAATAAATTCCTAGCCCAGCCCTTTCCTCTCCTGTGGGCCCCAGGGCTGTTCTAATGGCTCTGATCTCGCTGCTGAGAGCATCTCCCCATCACTGTTCATTCTTCCCACACCACTTTGCAGAGGGCTTCTGTGGATGTGGCCACTTCACGGACACACTGTGTGGGAGACTGGCTGATCTGTCTGTCTGAACGTAGCCTAGTAAGCTCTCCTGAGCAGCAACTGCATCCTGCCCAGAGGCCCCAGGCAAGATGATGTCCAGCTGCCCTCACTGCTCCCAGAGGCCGTGAGCAAGATCAGGGGATGCTGTCAGATGACGCAGAGAAGAGATGACATGATGTAAACACTGGCTGTGTGAGAGGGGACGAGGTCAGCTCATTATCCTGCACCCCTTGCTTCTGAGAACAGAAACTCTGGTTTCTGCATTTTAAAGCAGAGAATGGTCTCTGGGTACTACTGACTCAGCTAGCAGTAACTGGGGTGGTGGGGCTAGAGGAAGCCCGGAGGTGGGAATAAAGAACCTAGAATAATAAATTACGAAAATATGAGTTGTCTTAATTGGTATGAATGTGTCCAAATAATTCCCCGAAGGTGTGCGGGCTGCTGCTGACACATTTGACTTCCCAGGAACCAGTGAGTCAAATTGCCAATTCTGTTCCACCCCAGGCAGTCTCCCCCCACACCCCGAAGCGGACACTCTGGAAGTAGAGCTCAAGACACTCCCCCACCCCAGATCTCTCCTTTATCAGTGTAACTGGCAGACAGTGCACAGAGCTTGGAAAGGCTCAAGGAGGCTCTTCTTTTATGGCAAGTGATTACAATTATTTAAAAATCAACACCTATTGAACAAGGTAGACCAATCTTCTGGGGGGTGGGGGTTGCTAGGCAGGGCAGTGATGCTGTTCCCTGGCACAGGGAGGCCAGGTTACAGTAGACAACTGAGCTGGGGGAAGTTGTGGGACAAGGCATGATGGAGTGAGGTGGGGTAGAAGAGTCAGGGAAAGGGACAGGAGGAGGGTCAAGGGGGACCCAGGGAGGGGCAGGAGAGTGAGGCCTGGCTCACCCTGAGAGATGTCTGAACACTAAGATGTGGCATCGGCCCACTACACAGGGCTACCTGAACACAACCAACAGTCAGCCCAATAACCAAGAGGGCACAGAATGACCAAGAGGGGAGTGAGTATTCAGAGAGTATGGACCTGATGGGGGCAGAGAAGTGTCACATTCCAGGTGCAACAGAGGCCAGCTCAAGAGCTCATCAAGCTATTCTCATAAATTCATCAAGCTTCAAGTGATCTAAGCTTATAAACTGGTTATTGCTGAAATTTTCTATGTAGTATTTCCAGACCACAGCTGAATGCAGGAAACTCAAACTATGGGAATTAAAACTGCATATTATGAGGGTTACTGTCATTAACAGTATAGGGTATAAGTCTAGCTGCAGTCTATTCCTCCTCTTTGGATTCCATGGACACTCAGTAGAAGGTGACATTAGGGGTCTCTCTACCCTTGAACCTCACCTCAACCACTGGTTTACACGTGCTTTAGAATGGGTACAATTCTTAGGGGTTCCAAGAGAAAAACTCAGAGGGTGTATTACCTTGCGCCAGCCAGCTACATCAATATGTAAGATATTCTAAAAGCTTTTATTTTCCTTTTCACTCTCTGAAGTCCTAAAGCAATCACCCCTGCGGTCCCTCACATCTGGGTGCAAGTGGTGTTCAGTGCACAGGAAGCACATCCCCAGATCAGTCATCTACCCTCCTGGCTCAGATAATGCAGGCATCTCTAACACATAGCAGAGAGGTGGGTTGGGGCAGTTTCTCTCTCTATTGATGTCAGTATAATCCTCTCTCTAGATTCAAGAATAGACACAGGACTTGGCCTGATTATGCAATTGCATAGCAATTACCTCCAAAATGAAAACCTTGAGTCTTGGAGAAAAGCTCATTAAGACACAGGATGTTATGAAGGGAGAACA